TGTTTTAGCCTCCAGTATCCATTCTTGGTTAACTCATGCCTATTTGTGATTGCTACATGTGTGATCTGTGAATTGGTGGCATCTTCTGCAGTCTTGGGGTCCTCTTCCTAAGGGAATAATAAATGGATGGCTTGATGCTTAAGCACTATCTTAATCATTACAGTAATGATTAGAAAGTACTTAACACATGTACTTGCTTTTAGGATGGAATACAGATTGTATACTCTTTTGATATGAAGTATTTATTCTGTTAATAGCTTTATTAAATAGGGTGTTTTTAGAGTTATGTGGATTATTTATAGACATTGGGAAAACTGCATTTTATCATTTTTACTTAAATGTTGAAGTTCCATGTAAAGCAATTTTTAGGTCGCATCTAACACATTTTTAAAAACATTCTTTCTGCTGTAGCAGTAACAACCAAGCCTGACCTTCCCTGTGTCATATACCATTACCTCTGTTAATACTCGTGGGCCTCTATAATTATAAAGCAGATGTGTATCAGGAAGAGATGTTGATTTCAGAGTAAATTTTTCTAGAAAATAGAAGCTGGAAAAAAAGGAAAACCCAAACTTGTCTTCTTGCTCGCAGAGACAGCACTGCTGTGTGTGGGTGGGTGGCTGCATGCACCCGCTGCTCAGAAGTGCCTTTTCTCTCCATGGGGATAGCTGGCTGTGTATCAGAGATGTGGCCAGGAGGAGTAGGCAAGCAATGTGTGGGCAGGCTGCATGTTCTTTTATTAGCATCTGTATTGTACTGCATCTCATCGAGCCTGGAGCCTGAACCAGCCTAGGCCTCTAAAATCTGTCTTGTTTCCTATTTAATTACCACCCCTGAGCCTCTGAGCAATGGAAGAAGAGTTGTTCTTTGTATGGGGGTTGAGCTGTTTCTGGGGGTGGCTGTGGACTGACCTGGCCTGTGGATGTTCTTTGGTACCCAGGCCATGCTGAGCTCAGGCTTAGAGTTGCCCTTTCAGCACCACATACAGCTGGTCATGGGTAGAAGTTACCTTCCCTCAAGTGATTAATTTTCCTTTCCTCCGTGACCTCGCTCCTATGAACCTCTCTGGTACTTTTCTCGGATTTATGCAAGGCCTTGCAGCCAAGAAGCAGCAGAGTTGGGATTTGAACCCACAAGCATTGAGTTGCAGAACCCAACTTTGAATTCCCAGCTCTACTGCCCTGCACCTGCACCCGCACCTGCACCCTAATCATCCTCATGTAGGAAATTGTAGAGGCCATAGGGTAAGCTATTCCTGAGCATCAGTGCCACGGGATCATAATACCCACTGCATAGGATCCTTGGGAAGATTCAATGAATTAACCCACAGAGCATCAAGCACAGTGCCTGGCACATAGCAAGTGCTCAATAAATGTGCACTATTGTCAATGATAAAGGTAGTGGCATTAATTCTCTCTTTCCAAAGAATTGAGAAAATGCTTTGGAGAATGGCAGTTTTGTAGTTCTCTTTATATATTCAGAGTCAAAGGAGAAAACATAAGGAAGGTTACATGAAATCCATTGGTGGTAGATTAAAGAGGTAGGAGAAAGCCAAGCAGGGGAAATCTCTAGGATTGGATAAAACGTAAAATGGAGAGGTACATACTTCTTTTGTATTGGTGGGTACAGGGTGGTAACCTTTAACATTTATAGTAAGTTGAGATGGTGTTCTGGCAACCAGACAGCAGTCATCATAGCTTTTTTTAGATGTGATTTTTATTTCTTAAAAATTGATTTCCTTAGCACCTTTATTCTGAAGAGCTCTTAATTGCTGCACTTAGAACTTCTAAACTGAACAGTGAACACTGGTCAAGCATCAAAATAACAGAAGAATGGGTGAGTTGGACCTCGGTGACGCAGAGAGCTGTTGCTTTGTATCCTGCAAGTGCCAGTGGATGGGGCCGCACATCTCCATTCTGGGCCCTATTAATGAGTGACCTAGAATAGGTTTTCTTTTTTGTTTTGTTTTGTGACTAAGCCATCAGCAATGCACCCACAGCAGCACACTTTAAACATTAAACACTGCTGGAGCCTGCCCTCCATGTGCCATCAAGTTTTGGGAGCCACTTCCCATCCCATCATCATGTACCCATGTAGTCGTTCTTCTAAAGGTGCCGGTTTTGTGCTTGGGCACAAAGAGCTGTGGCCTGTGTTGTCATCTCTGACTCATGTCGATGCGTGTGACTTAGTGACAGGTGGGCGACTCGATTATGGAAGGACCATCAAGTCCATCTGTGGATCATCCCTCCCTCCTTGGGTGGTTCGGGGTCTTCTCTAGCTCACCCCCAGAGTGAAGTCAAGACTAAAGGAAATAGCAAAGGTAACTCAAGTGATGCCAAGCAACCCATTTCATCTCAGATTAAAAGGAAAAAAAGTGTGTGTGTGTGCACGCGCGTGTATGCGCGCACACGTGCACTAGATTTTAGGTTATAAAGCAGGCTAATGTAGAAATTGGTTAAGATTTTTGGCTAAAAGTTAGATTTTAAAAAAAGGATTTCTTTCTGGATTTCAGTCCCCGCTGCCTATTTCTGTGAATAAGCAGCATTTGTTTTAATGTGAATAATAGCACAGAGGGAATTCAACCCCCTGAGCTTGACTATTTCAAGCAGCTATTTTAGGCCTGCGAGGCATGTGCTATTTATGACATTGCATGGGTAGTGATGCTAAAAACGACAGTGATAATAGTAAGTGGCTGGCATTTATTGAACCCTCCAGATGGGCCAGGCACTGTGCTAAGGGCATTACATGGACTATCTCATTTAATCCCTGCAGGAACTCTTGAAGTAGGTTGAGAATTGTCCCCATTTTACAGATGAGGAAACCAAAGTTCAGAGACGTCATGCAGTTAGAGTGGCAGAGTCAGAGTTTGAATAGAGCAGCCTGACTCAGGGTGTTGGCTTGCTTGGCTGCCCTGTAGTGTGTTTGCAGGGAGCTGTCACTGGGGTATGGCAAGACATCACTCCAACCCTTGAGAGGGGAGCTGCATGGAGAGAGGTGTTCTGAGTTGCTGCAGGGCACTGACCTCTTTTAGGCAGGGAAGTAGTTTGGGTAAGCAGAAAGCAGAACTTTCACCTGCTGGTAGGACGTGAATGCTCATTGACAATCAGCTCCTGCAACCCTGTTACCAAGGCAACAAAGATGGGACTGTGGGACAGTGGTGGGCTCTGTCGCACATCCTTCCCTATGTGAGAACCCTTGCCAGTTGTTGCTCTGACCCTGCCCTTCATCCGTCCTAGTGTTCGTGCCCAGGGAGCCAACCACTGTGGGAAGCTGTCCCAGATGGGAGCCGGCATTTCCACACATAATTAACTGCTTCTAGGGATGAGGCAGTGTGTGTGAGTGATATACAGAGGTGTATCCTTTCTGTGGAGAGAGTATCCTTCTAACCCATTCTCATGAGGTCACACTGCTTTATTTTTGTGATATTTTCCTGAGGGTTATATCAGCTGCATCAAGTCAGTCTCCCTACCCCAGCTCTCTGTTGTGAGACCAACAGAAACCACTTAGTAACTGGCAGGTGGCTTAACCTCTCTGGGTCTCAATTTCCTCATCTATAAAATGAGAATAATAAATTTTATCTGCCTCCTAGAGTTGTTGTGGGGAATCAAGAGTTAAAACATGTCTATAGTTAGGACAGAACCAGGCATGTAGTCAGTGCCCAATAAGTATATGAGCTTTCTAAGGCTGCTGTAACAAATCACCACAATTTTAGTGGCTTAAAACAGGACACATTTATTACCTTAGAGTTCTGGAGGTCAGAAATCTGAGATGGGTTTTACTGGGCTGAAATCAAGTTGTAGACAAGATTGCACTCTGGAGCATCTAAGAGAATCGGTGTCTTCCCCCTTTCCAGCTTCTATAGGCCACTTAGATTCCCTGGCTTGTGGCCCCTCCCTCCATCTTCAAATCTCTCTCTCTGACTCTGACCCTACTTCTGTTGTCACATCTCCTTACCTCTTCTGCTTTCATTTTGTAAGAGCCCTTGTGATTACATTGGACCCAACCAGATAACCCACATTAATCTGCCCATCTCAAAATACTTCACTTAATCACGTCTGCAAAGTCTCTTTTGCTATGTCAGGTAACAGATTCACAGGTTCTGGAGATTAAGATGTGGACATCTTGGGGGAGGAGCTCTATTCCACCTACCATGATAGGCCTTAGCAGTTTGTATAAAATGAAACAGAACCAACTGGGTAGCTTGGGGATGGAATAAACAATAATTTGATCAATGCAGTAACTAACAGCATTTATCGGGTACTTGCTGTGTTAGCTCTGTTCTGCCTCAGGACTGGCATCTATTATCCCTCCTCCCTAGAGCTTGTTTCCTTCCAGAGCTTTGGATGGCCTGCACCTTCTCATCCTTCAGGCCCCAGCTCAAATGTCACCTCCTCAGAGAAGCCCTCCTTGATTACTATTGCCTAAAGCAGACCCTTGACCCATATCATATCACAGTGCCCTGTTTCCTTCTTTGACAGAAAGAAGAAGGTTACCATCATCTGTAACCTTTTCGTTTTTGTGTCTGCCCAGTGCATTCTTTCTGCCCCTTGTGGAATGTCAGTTCCCAGAGGGCAGGGACCTTGATGTCTTGTTTACTGCTATTCCAGTGCCTAGTACAGTTTCTGGGACACAGTAGGTGCACAGTACATATCTGCTGAGTAAGTGAATGAAGCCATGTAGGCAGGATGCTGCATTTAATGTTCACACTCTCCTGTGTGGTAGGTTCTTCTGTCATTATTCCACCTAATAGATATGGCAACTGAGTCTAAGAGAGTCTCAACTGTGGCTTCAGGTCAGTGGCGACTGAATTTACACCCAGGTCTGCCTGCTTCTGGAATTTTTGCTTCCTTTACCTCCCTGTCTCATGGCCTTGATGTCATTAGAAGCCCTGCTGATGGCCACAGAACTCTGGAAGGTCCATTGTCTATTGCCGTAGTTTCTGAATGCAGCTTTTTCGGCCCACCTACTTGCCACCTTGACACTGATTTTCTTCTATCTAGGTCTTTTGTGTCGGGCTTGGACTCCCCTGCCAAGACTAGCTCGATGGAAAAGAAACTTCTCATCAAAAGCAAAGAGCTGCAAGACTCCCAGGACAAGTGTCACAAGGTATTTATTTCCACAGCCGGCCTCTCTCCTTGCTCCAGGATCCTCCTGTCAATATATGCCAAGGGAGCCACCTGGGGCCGCTGCTGGCACTGAGCCACCTGATCCATACAGAGTGAGCGAGGTGCTATCTCCCTCGCTGAAGTGACACCTCCGGCAGCTCAGAGGGAGATGAATTCGGGCCTTGACGTTGCTGTAAATCCTTTAAATCTTAACCAGAGGAGGCCCTGGATTTAAAACGGCCCGTTCCTCAGCATGACCCAGCCAGATGTCTGCTTCTTCCGGCAGGTGGTGTGGGTCGTCACCTGTGGCCGGGATGCATCCCATCTGCTTTGAGTGATGCGAAGTCTCTCTTCCTAGCCTTTTAAAACTCCTGCTTATGTAACTGCGGCCACGGTGTTGATTATGCTCAACGTCTCTTAACACTCACTGTTCCTGCCCAGGGGCAGCTTTCTGGAAGCTCATAAAAGTCACTACTTGCCCGGGACTCCTAAGAGTGCAGGCGAATACATATCTCCTTGCCCTGTCCTGGATTTGTCCTCTAGATCTTTGCAAGGAGATGGGGGGGATCAAGATGGATTTGGGGTAAAATTAAAGTGACGTCTGCAAAAACCAAACCAAACCAAAAAAGCAAACAGGTGAAAAGTGATGATTGTGGCCTTCTTGCTCACTGGGTTAGAGGAGTGACCAAGTGTGAACCGAGACTTGAATGAGAGGAGTGACTTAGCATTGGTGACTATCCCTACGAAGAACCGTGTGCTCCCGGGCGAAGAAACAATGGTACTTCCATCCCTACCTTTGGCGAAATAGCGCCAGCTGAGACCACCAGGTGGTTTCGGAGGCTACTTGAGATTTGCTAGCTCCCCATGAACCTCCACGGGCCCTTTTAACCTGTCGATGTGTTTATTTCAGATGGAGCAGGAAATGACCCGGTTACATCGGAGAGTGTCAGAGGTGGAGGCTGTGCTTAGTCAGAAGGAGGTGGAGCTGAAGGCCTCTGAGACTCAGAGATCCCTCCTGGAACAGGACCTTGCTACCTACATCACAGAATGCAGTGTGAGCCTTCCCCAAAGTCCCCTTCCCTTGGAGGTGGCACTTCCTGTTGTGTGTGTCTCATCCTGTTTCATGACAGTTCCATGAGGCACATCACAGCCAATGGCAGAGAGTAGAGAAAGGCAGAATACAAAAAAGCAAGAATTGCAATTTGCAGAGTAGTGTAAGCCTGGCCAGAGGTCCCAGAGAGAAGTAAGACTGGACTCCAGAAAGTCCAGGTAGGCCACGGAGCTTGGAGATGGGCGTGGTCATTTTTGCAGCCAGTCACAAAGGGTCCTAACTTCTCCCATCCCAACCTCTCTGGTCTAAACCTCCGCCGTGTCTGACATGGTCAGCCTCGGGAACCAAACTCGCAAATAAGCACAAGAAAATTTATTTTGAATCTGCCTGAAAATCAGTTTTCCATTTCCTACAACTGGTGTAGCAACAAGAAAGCTCAGCCTTTAAAACCCAGACCCTCTGTCATTATTTATCATGTGGCTTTTTTTTTCTTTCCTTCACAAGAGTAGACTGTCTTCTCCATTGTCTCGTTAAATTTTTCATCCAGGTGTTTTTTTAATGTGCCCAATTAAACAGTCTTAAGAAGTTGAATCACACATTTTTCAATTTTTGTTTTTTTTTCCTTTCACGAGGGAGAGGAGATCTATAGGACGTGGCTAATTAAGAGTAACTGCTATGTTTCCATTCCAGATTTGGCTGCCTTTCAGTGGTGGGTGAAGCTATTCAGCTGTGTATTACAGATATATATTTCAGTACCACTAAAGCATTAAGGGAACCTTATGGATGAAAGGTATCCAGGAGACATAAGGCAGGAGATGGAAATAGACTGCTCAGAGTCTTAAATGAAGTCATTGCTACTTTGAAAGCGAGCTATATACCCGTGAGTCCTTGAGTAATTGATATTGCAGGAAAGACTCTGGCCATCCCAATGGTGGTTATAATGGCTAAGGGATCTTATTAGTGTTTCATCCTAAACATGCAAGTAAGTATCTCCTAGGACAGGTAGATGATGGTAGAAGACAGCTTGATGTAGTTTCAGATTGGATCACAAGATCATAGGGTTAAGATGATATTTCTTGAACCCAGGGGTTTTTACAGGATGAAAACTGGAATCAACAACCAACTGGAAGTTGTCAACTTTGGTCCGTCATTGGAAACCGTCTTGATGTCTGCGAAGCAGCTTGCAGCTCCTTTAATGAATCTTTTCTAACAGAGCAGGCTCCACAGGGCATCCCTATTAAAATTTTTGCTTTCCGCAGAGTTTAAAGCGAAGTTTGGAGCAAGCACGGATGGAGGTGTCCCAGGAGGATGACAAAGCACTGCAGCTTCTCCATGATATCAGAGAGCAGAGCCGGAAGCTCCAAGAAATCAAAGAACAGGTATGACCGCCTCCTGCCTGGGAGCAGGGTGGCTGCTTGGACCTCTAATTTCAGGAGAGACATGTTGAGAGGCAGAGAGAAGGAAAGAAAAAGGGTTGGGGGGGAGAGATGTAGGTCATTCCCCATATTTATATAAATTGTAGAACGCTTGGTTCTAGCCCCTTTGAAATCTGCGTCCCATAATGGCTACTCTTTTCAATTAAAGACGTAGGTTTAGAGCACGGGTGGGGCACCTGTGGCCTATGGGGCAAATCTGGCCTACCACCTGTTTTCCATGATCATAAGCTAAGAATGGTTTTTGCATTTGTAAGCAGTTGTGGGGAAAAAAAATCAAAAGAAGAATATTTCATGACAGGTGCAAAGTATGTGGAAGTCAGATTTCAGTGCCCACAAGTGAAGTTTTTACTGGAACATAGCCATGCTCATTCATTTTTGTATTGTCCATAGCTGTTACTCTTGCTACAGTGGCACAAAGACCATATGGTCCTCAAAGCTGAAATTGCTTACTATGTAGCCTTTTACAGGAAAAGTTTGTCAACCTCTCTGCTCTAGATCGTTAAAAGAAAAATGGAAGGTTTTTATAGCTTTTCAGTTGCGCTTTAAGTTTTTGAGAGAAGCCAGGATAATTCATATTAAGTAAAACTTACTATATAAGTAAAACGTAAAGAAATCATCTAGAAGAAGAGTTGGAGCAGGTAAAGACTGAGTGAGATTTAACGCAGCAAATCTGAGTGCGGAAAGCCATCCACTGTGTTCAGAAAAGAGCACGGAGACCTTTAAAAGGCCCACTCTCTCCCCCCCTTTTAAAAAGGGTTTTCTTTCAAGATGGTTCATTTTTGTTTTAAACTTCGCTTCATTGTTTCCTTTTTAGCATGGATTTTTCTGTCCTTTGAAGAAGCTGTAAATAGAAACTTTCATGAAGAGATGGCAATGAGCAACTGGAGAGCTGAATTATCAGCTGCCAGGCAACTCCCATTCACTTCAGAAAATCCAGTGTAAACACTGATGGAAATGAACATTTTTGTCTCTGGGTAGCACCAGCTTAGCCATCTGGGTGGTGCTAAATATAAGAAACTCCTGCAAATAATCGGGTCCATTCACTATTCTTTAAAGGAAGAAGGATTTTTGGGAGGGTTTCGTTGGCATAATCTGTCACCTTAATATTTAAAAATGGTTGGTTAATACCCTCTTGCTTGTAAGTAAATGTGCATAGGAAGCATAGCAATCTGGGTAGCAGGTTTCTGAACAATACCAATATTAGAGGTTTTGCAGGCCACTCACAGTTTGAAACCTGCTTTGACAGTTGACTCATTGCCCCTTTTTATCAACATGGTTTTTCATCCTAAAAGTTTCAAGAGGCGGAATTCTTTTTCTCCCATTAGTTCAGTGTGTTTGGAAATTGGCTTTTGGTGGCGTCCTGGGGAAATGAAAGCTGCATTTGGCCACCAGAGGGAGCAGCTGGTGTCCATGAAATTCCCCGGAAACAGAATTAACAGGACATTTTGAAAGGCGGTTGAGTTCAAAGAAATGTCTTTTGTGATTCCTGTCACTGTTGGCAGGCATGCGGAGTTTTAGGTTTTAATGACTGCTAAAAGTTCCAGTGTGGGGAAGAAAACCTCTTCGTTTCAGATTATTTCTCACTGGAAGAAGGATTTATTAAAATGACTTTTGGGAAGTTTTGTGAGAACAGGATGTTTGCAGTCCAGGAAAAAGCATTTCCTGCTTTCAGCAAACTTCTCGTAATTGGTTTGCAGCCTGTTGTTTGCTCTCAGATTTGGCATTCTACCCCCCCACTCTTTATCTCACAAGCTAATTTCTATATAGCTATTTATTTTGTAATATTTTGCTTCTACTTAGCTACCCTCTATAGAGTATTTGGACTTGGTTTAAAATAATAATACCTAAGAGTCTCACATGATAGTTTGATTCGTGCACTTTTACTAGCAATCACTGACACCCCCTCCCAGCCCCAGGAAGGGAAACAGAAGTTCAGGAAACATGGAAGGCATTTGTCACTGAATAGGACTACGTCCGACTTCCTTCTCACAAAATTCTGAAGCTCCATCCAGAACACTTACCTTAGACAGGCCTTGAAGGTTGTTGGTGGTCTGCCATCCTTATCCCTCTCAGCTCTAACCTACAATTCAGTCCATGCTGAGACAGGACAGCTCTCTCACCTGTCCTTGGAGACAGACCTGATGATCTTCTCTCAGATTTTTCCTTCAGCAGGCATTTGGTTAGCTGTTGGATTTATGAGATTGCCTTGAAGTCTCCAGCATAGTAACAGTGGCTCAACAAATGAGGTAGAATTCCTGTTGATGCTTGTAGCAGGCTGGGCGCCCCAAGAGCTCAGAGAGCTGACGGAGATGTTGCCTGATTTTTGCCTTCCTCCCCCTGGGTGCTGACAGCTCAGAAAAGAGAGATGTTGGGGGAATGAACAGCCGCTCTGTCCTTGCTCTCGACAAAACACGAAAATTACATTCCCTTCTCGCTAACTTAAGTTCAAGAAAGAAAAGGGAGGCTGGGGATAAGATGCCCAAGATTTCTCCCAGCTCTGCTTCCTCTACAGTTTGATGTTTGTGGGTAGGGCTGATGGTACCTTTAGGTGCCCATAAAATGCTTAATTTTTTTTAATTTAAAAGAAAAAATTGATCTTTTAGGTCAAAAAAACTGTTTTCATAGATAATATTAATGTTTTTGTCTTTATATGAACACAGTTATAAAATATAATTAAAAAAATTTTTTTTGTGGAAGAGGGGGTCCAGGAAGGCACAGTACTCAGAGCCATGACAATTATAATGTGGCCCTGGCCGAGGGGTCTAGAAAAACCCCCAGGAAAGGATGTATCGTTTTACGTAATCAGCTCATGCTCCACTCCGGGAGTTCAAATAATTGTGAGCAGGTTATAAAGGCCTTTGGTTATATAACCTCACGTCAGCCACTTAGTGTGCACCACCCGGAAACTCGGTGCCCCACGGCTTCTAGGCTTGACCCTCAACAACAGCATATTTTTGGGTGAAGTGGAATAAGACTGTGTTCACTCTGGGCTTACTCCTTTTTATTTCCCCTCTACCAGTGATGTAGCGAGAGGTGTGCTTACATGAAAATGACCCAATTTTCATAAGGACATCACTTCCCTTTTAGTGTGCACTGGGGGGATTGCCTGTTACAATAGGCTTAAAGATTTCCTTTATGTGCTATTATTAGAAACAACAACATATCCTCGTTCAATTAATACCTCTTTAATTACTCCTTGGGAGAACGGACCTTAGAGATGTTCGATGTATATTGTAAATGTCAAAGACAGTCCTGATTCAATTCCTTGTTCTTTTCATTTTATATCCCCCCTACCCACCCACCAACCCAAGACATTTTGGATTGTCTAAGTGCTCATTCATAATCCTTATATATATAAGCTTTGATTTTTCTAACAAAGACTATTTTCATACTTTGGCCAAAAGTTTTCAAAACCATTGCCCATTTCTTCCGGTAAATCCCATTTTGAAAAAAAACACAATTCAGATGTTCTGTTTTGATTTTGGAAAAGGTCAGGCTGTTTGGATCACTTTGAAGGGTTTTTGGAGGGAACAAGATGATTCTTTGGAATTTGTCTCACAGGTTATTGTGACCAGAGCCAGTGTTTTCTGACTCTTGCAAATTTCAGGGTGACTTGCATTTCAAGAGCAACGTTAAGTTCATCATTCAGTTTTGGGCTCAGAAAAATTAATGGTGAGAATCTGACATGATGAGTTTCACCTTCCAAGATTCTTTCCACTGAGATTTCCAATTACCCTCTTGTGCTGTCTAAAAGGTTAATTTTAAAACTAGTACCATATCTAATTATGTTAGGAGCACATGACTTCTAAAGGACAAATCTATATAAACGATTACCCTTGGAAGAAAGCTACACATAAGCAGTTTGTCGCAGTTGTTTAAAGAACATCCCTTTCAGCTCTCCTGTGTTGCAAATGCCTTAAGGTTCTGCGCTTATTTGTGATAGTATTTGCTCAAAGGATCTTATTATAGGCACATTTTATTCCAAATGGTGTTACTAGTGATACATGTTCCACATTAAAACGGTTTAAAGATTTAATATTCTTTTCTCCCTCCTCCATCCTCCCACACCTCCCCTTTTGCCCATCTGTCTACTCACCTTCTCTTCTAGGTCTGTTCTCTGCCAGTCTCTCTTCGGTTTTTGTCTTCCCTCTGTGGCCGATACTGTCCATCTCCACTGCCTGCCTTTTCTTTCAGGGGTTCTAACGTTCACCTTTTCCCCGTCATCTGCCCTGTAGGAGTACCAGGCTCAGGTGGAAGAAATGAGGTTAATGATGAATCAGTTGGAAGAGGATCTGGTTTCAGCAAGAAGACGGAGTGATCTGTACGAGTCCGAGCTGAGAGAGTCCCGGCTCGCCGCCGAAGAGTTTAAGCGGAAGGCGACTGAGTGTCAGCATAAACTGTTGAAGGTAGCGGCCACCCACCAGGAGGGTGTTTTGGGGTAGAGTCATGGATGCTCTTATCAAGAATAAAGGGAATACTGGCCTGATGAGTGTACGTTTGGGAAATAATTGGATACCCTGGGAAGTTCCTGGTCTTTATTTATAGAAGATAATCTATTTATCATCATCATTATTTATCATCATTATTTTGGTCACAGAGACCAGGAAAGTACAGGAGGTAGTGTTGTCTAGAAGACTTTTATATTCTTGAGATTCCCGTTATATGTTTTAAATTACAGGCTAAGGATCAAGGGCAGCCTGAAGTGGGAGAATATTCCAGACTCGAGAAGGTATTTTCTATTATTGCTACTGTTCTTCTTGGTAGATAATCTTTTAAAGGTCACTGTCAATGGCCAGTCATTGGTAAGAATATTCTTGCAATGAATAGAGAACTTTCTTCTAGGTTTAATTTGATGGTCAGCCTCTGGGTGACCACTTTCAGCTTCAGCTGTGGTTCTAAAAGGGGTAAAAGACTCCTGCTTCATTTTTCCCTCAGGCACGCTCACAGTGACAAGCAAACCCAGACTCAGTCAAGTATGTGTGAGAATCCTCATTGCCTTTAAGGCGCCGGGCGACTTTGATTCTCCTTCTGCCATTTTGTACGTTGCTGGTTCTGGAGAAATAGCTAACCTTCTGTGGAGGTTTGCGCTGGGACAGTCCAAGTCTTTTCTGATAGGCCACTTGTTTCTCCTCTCCATTAGTAGATACTGGAAAACAAAGCAAAAAGACCCCACAGAACCCTCAAGAAAATAGGACTGCAGTAAATGTAGCAAGACGTTAATACCGATTTGCCTTTTGCTTTATTTCCTGGGATTTTAATTATAGATCAATGCTGAGCAGCAGCTCAAAATTCAGGAGCTCCAAGAGAAGCTGGAGAAGGTAAGCCCAAGGGGATTTTCTTGGGAACTTACCCCCCATTTCCAAATATTTTACCTTGCCTCGCCCTGGAGCATGAAAGATGAAAGACACAGATTTAGTCACCCAGCGCCGAGGAAAATGAAGGGGGAGTGAGCTATTACCTGAAAGTATGAGAGTTCTGAATATACTTTTTCTTTTGAGATGTGTCAGCAGTGTTTATTTTTAAAAACCAAGCTGTGTGAGACTCTCAAGAAAAATTTCTAATTATACTATGACAGAACCCGAGATGCCGACTTCTCTCCCTCTGTGGGGCCAGGCTCCCCATTTTGCACATTTGTAAGGGAAGCATGTGTTGTTCACGACCCAGACCGCTTTCAATCAGAAACTCTGTGGGCAGCGTTGCTGTGCGCTGGAAGGTGGAAGGAGCCGTGGAACTGGCTCATGGTGGGGGGAGGGCCGTGCTTGGTTTACAGCGTCCTGCAAAGTTCGTGCTAGTTGAACCCTGGAAATGCCAGTGAAAGGGCCAGAATGAATGTGGTTCTGAGACATGCCTTGTGGATGTTTAGGAATGTGTTTATTGCCTTAGTTTAATAGAGCCTCCTCTTATTCTTTAAAAAAGGAATTTCAGTGAAAAACACATAGCATTAAATTTACCATCGTAACCATTGAAGTGTATAGTTCAGTAGTGTTAAGTACATTCACGTTGTACAATGGATCTCTATAACTTTTCCATCTTGCAAAACTGAGACTCTATACCTGTCAAACACTAACGCTCCTCTCCTGCCCCCCTGACCTTGGTAACCACCTTTTTATTTCTGTTTCTGTGGTTTTGACTGCTGTAGATACTTCATGTGAGTGGAATAATACAGTATTTATCCTTTTGTGACTGGCTTACTTCACTTAGGATAATGTCCTTGAGTTTAATCCATTTTGTGGCAAGTGTTAGGATTTCCTTGGAATTTCAAGGCTGCATAATATTCCATTGTCTGTATCTACCACGTTTTCTTTTATCTGTTCATCTCTCCCCTTACCTGGTCTTGAGCCACTAATGAAAGCCTTTACTGCCCTCTTTCAGCTAGAAGCTTGTGTAAGGATTCCTATTTTCATCTAGAACTGTGCTCTCCAATAGAAGTGTGATGCAAGCCACAAATGTCAGCCACAGATAAAAGTTAAAATTTTCTTGTAGAAACAGTAGAAAAAGCAAAAAGAAACAGGTGGAATTAGTTGAATGGTATGGTTTATTTAATCCAGTATATCCAATATATTATGGTAGCATGTATCAATATTAAAACATTTACACTATTTCAGTTTTGTTTTTTTAAAATATGTCTTTATTGACTTCAGAGAGAGGAAGGGAGATGGAGAGAGAGATAGAAACATCAGTGATGAGAGAGTCATTGACTGGCTGCCTCCTGCACGCCTCCCACCACTGGGGATCGGGCCCGCAACCGGGGCATGTGCTCTGACCGGGAATCGAACCTTGATCTCCTGGATTAAAGGTTGATACTCAACTGCTGAGCTACTCTGGCAGGGCTATTTTAGTTTTTAAATGAACTAAACTTAAATAAAATAAAAAATTTAATTCCCAGTCACACCAGCCACATTCAGGTGGTCAAGGGCCACATGTTGCTGGTGGCTTCCATGTGGACAGTGCTGGTCTTGAAATTGGAGTTTTTTTGCAGTTTCCACTTTAAAATTTTGAGTTTATAGTTTAAAAATTTTTAATTTAAAGCAAGAAAGTATGAGGTTGTTGCTTTTTAAAACTCAGATCTTTATTATGATGCTATAAGAGCGGCAGATTAGTGAAGAACCAAATAAAAATTAACTTCAAAAGGTGTTATTTTAAAAAACAACAACAGATTTGTGAATTATCATGAGCACTATGGTTGTTGTGTCCTTAGAAAGGTACTTATTTGAAAAATAGTTTAAATTACAGTTTTTGTCTTGTTTTCTTGTAAACATAGTACAGATTCTCCATAGGAAAATTAGCAAGTGAGATAATTAAATAAGGAGAAAATTAATGATCCGATGTAAATCCATTATTACCTGGACAGATAAATTCTTCTAGACTTTCATGTTTGCATCGACTACGTTGCATTGAATCTAAGATGCTAATGGTTTTCACATACACCATTATCTCATATACCCCAAGAAGGAAAAACGCCGTCAATTTTCATTGTAGGATGTATTCCAGATTCAGTGATGTTAAAAATGTGTGCATCTTAGAATAGACAAAAGAGAGACTAAAATAAATGTTTATATGTTTTGAAAAATGGACATACTATAAATGCTCAGTGTTTCCTGATTTTTCCCATTTAGAATATTGAATAAACTTGGCCATCCATCTCCTGTTCCTTCTTTCCTGGTAGGCTGTAAAAGCCAGCACGGAGGCCACCGAGCTGCTGCAGAATATCCGCCAGGCGAAGGAGCGGGCCGAGCGCGAGCTGGAGAAGCTGCAGAACCGCGAGGATTCTTCTGAAGGCATCAAAAAGAAACTGGTAGAAGCCGAGGTGAGTAGGGGACTGCCAGCCTGTGGTTGGACTGACCCCAGTCCCAGCGTGGCCACATGGGAGTGACAGTGACCAGACTTTGGCTGTGCCAAGGGAAAGGAACTGCAAAGCCACCCTTTGCTTATATCTGACCAAACCACTTTCCCTTCTGCAAATATCTTTGAAACTCCAGAGGCTTCGAAACATTTTCCCCAGAGGGGAAGAAAGATTTGTCACAGCAGCTTCAAGTTGAAAGATGTTTTGATGAAAGCTTTTCCTTTCTGTTTTCCTCTCACCTGCTCACTCATCTGGGAGGGTTGACTTATGTTTATATAACAGACTGTAACGCCACCCCTGAGTTTTTCTTTTCTTCGCTCTGTATCCTTGTCTTTCCTTGTCTTTTCCCCACAGCATTAATAACATATTAATTTCCAAGGCTTCAGCTACGACCTGTGTGTCGATGACTTCCCAGATTTGTATTTCTGGGTGTCTTCTCTCCCTCAAATTCTTTGTTGTTGTTGTTGTTGAAATCGTTTATATACTTATACAGGAAACACACGAGTGTCTTCTCATTGTCAAAAACTTAAGCAGTAGTACTGAAGAATATAGGATAAAAAGTGACACTTCCCCTTTTCTCCCATCCATCTCCCCTAGCTCCTTGGTGGTTGGTCTACAAAAACGGATGTGCCACAGTTGATTTAGCCATGCCTGTTGCTGGGCCGCCTGCTTTCCCTATCACAGTGCTGGCATGAACCTGTTGGCTTATGTCTCTTCGGGGCCATCCTCACCTGTGTTCCAGGCAGTATTTCCCACTGCTCCCCTGACATCTGGACTGGGTGTCTGAACAGTGCATCAAATCCAGAATGAATGTGGGGTCTTCCCCCACGAACTGAGTTCCCTTCTTAATATCCTCATAGTGGTCAGGGTCAGCATCATTCATCTAGTCACCCAGGCTTGAAACCTTGACATCATATCTGATTCTCCGTGGACCTTGCCATTCAGTGAGTCACTCAGTCCTATAAATACAGCCATCCCGTCTCCTCGGTTCATCCCCTGCTTGCCATTTCTGTAGGCCGCCTCATAGACCAGGCCCTCTTCCTCTGAGCTGAGCAATAGGAATTGTTTTGCCTTCTGCTTCCGGTGTCTCCTTCCTCCCAGCTAGCTCACAGAGTGTAAGACGCGTGGACCTCAGACAGAAGGCTCGTCAGTACCCCGTACCCCATCCCAAACCTTCCCTATATCTTAGGTGTACCCCTGAACCTGGTACATGAAACTCAAAACTATTTGGCCCACCTTTTTTTGAATTTCACCCTTTCTCCTGCTCCCCATCACGCATCTTAAGCTGTAGCTGCTCTAGGCCTCAGCTGGGGCCTGAACTGGGTCTTGACCACCTCCATGTTTCTGCTAACGTGCTTACCTTTGTCTGAGAGGCCTTCCACCCCTCCTCTTCTGCCCTCCCCTATCCTGGCCCTCTCCAGAGCTTATGTCTCTGGGACTCTTCCCCTCCCCTGGTGGGTAAACGTCCTCTTTCCTGCCTCCAGCCTCCAGCAGCACTCTGCCTGTTTGCTTTATGGCTCTTCCCCCTTAACCTATATTATGTTTGCCTGTGTTTATCTTATCTTTTGCAAGGGCAGGAATTATGTCGCTTCCTCTCGGTATTTTCCGTGATGCCTAGCGTGTATTCTTTTGCAGATAGTAGGTGCTTGGTAAATATTTGAATGAATGAATGCACTCTTGTAACCTACACAACCGAGTACTTGAATTCTAGAGTCTTCTTTTCTTCGCTGTTGCTGTGGGTGCCTGAGACTTCTCTTCCCGCCTCGAGCGCAGGCATTACGCCCGTGGCGGTTACCCCATTAAAACTCTCTGATTGATTCACGATCTACAGGAACGCCGCCATTCTCTGGAGAACAAGGTAAAGAGGCTAGAGACCATGGAGCGTAGAGAAAGCAGACTGAAGGATGACATCCAGACAAAGTCCCAACAGATCCAGCAGATGGCTGATAAAATTCTGGTGAGCAGGAACCAAAGTTGAAAAGTTAAAAGATAACAGGGCAGAGGTTGCAAAGGGAAGGGGGTAAAAAAGAAGTATTTTAAGCACTGTCCGAGGGGAGGTGTCACCGAGCAGGTGAATTAAGAGAAGTGATCTCAGTGTCTGCCACATCAGAGAACAGTATGAATAACCAAATTTGGGGCATTTCAGCACTGGTAACAGATCCGTAAATATTACTATTTTTTTGCTCTGTTTGCTACTGCCTGACATTTTAAAATATGAACATGCATACTCTCATTTCCGATAGATTTTTCCAGGAGCATTTCTGTCCTTCCTATGAGCAGAGTTTTGTATGGCTGTTAACTTTGCAATGCCAATTAAAAAAACTAGGGCTTTAGACCTTTAAGACCAAAACCAAGATTCTTGCTTTTGGAGAAGAAAAATAAATTAGTCATGCAGAATTGTTTTTCTCAAAGTAGTATTTGTCATAGACCAGTGTCCACCCACTCACCCTCTCTGCTACAGTTGGTTGTTGTTATTGTTTTTTCAATTTCCTTAGATGTAGCAGGTCTTTTTTTAGCTTTATAATCATCATGATTCTGTTTTCAATTCTGGTGACCAATTTAACTTAATCAAGGAAGGCTCGGGCAGTACTCGCAAATGGGTTAAAGTTTTGCCCCTGCCAGGGTGGCATGCAGGTGAACCTTTGAAGGACTCTCCTTGGATCTCAGTCCCAGAGCCAGGAATTTGATGCCACTTAGTGATGACTCGAAGTCTGTTCATAGCTCCCTCCTCCCCCGCCCCAGAAGAGACTCTGGAGTAGTCGGCTGTTTCTCTCTACCATAAGGAGGCGAGGTGGTGAACAGGTCACTTCATCTCTCTCTCTCTGCATCACTTCTGGGAAATGAGTCATATATGAACTCAAGAATAGCCAACTTATAGGCCTATACTTAATACCCAGAAACCCTTTAAAACTTTCCATTTCTGTGTTCATATATATTCATGAGCATATGGATGCTCTTGAGCAAACAGGTGAAAGAGAAATTGGTTAGATTGTTTTGCTTGGACACACAGTCTTCGTATATACGTCTGTATACGCAAAGGCGAATGTGACTGTTGGTCTACCCTTTCTGTTCTCTTTTTCCATCATCAGAGTTTCTCTTGGCGATTGTCAAGTATGTGAATTTTATCGTGAGTAAAATTAGATCCCACCAAGATCCCACCACCACTATCCCTTGCTTTGTGCAAATGAAGTGGTTAAGTCTCTTGTGGTCGCAAAGTGTTTCTCTGTTTACTGGTGATGTGTTCATTCATTCATTCAACAAATATTTAATGAGCTTCTACTATGTGCCAGGCACTGTTCTAGGAGCTGGAAATATAGCAGCGAACCGTAGTGTTTGCATAACAGGACTGAAGAGTTTGATCCAATACATATAGAAAAGATAATGTGTTAAAAAATGACAACAACAACAAAAAATGCCAAACTGCCAAGAAGTCGGATTTTAGAATATCTGCTTTTCCAAAGGTTCACTTGCAATTAATATGTAGGAATATAGAGCTCTGCATTCTTTGATTATATGTTGTAAACTCCCATTCATGTATAGACCAGAAATTTGGTCTTAAAGTTGTCACTCTCAGGTATCTGAATTTTCAACCTCTTTTAGATTCTGATTTCCATTCCTGTGCAATCTTATGAGGACTGAAAGTACGAAAAGATGATTATCAAGTTATTTATAACATAAAGAAAAAGTAAACATATTTCTTTGTCCGAATGTATCTTGCCACCTGCTCGAGTTCCTTTGTGCTTGTGACTTCATTTATCGGAAGGTGCATTTTGCTCAAGAACCCTGTGCTTAGGCTGCGAAGTATCTAGGACATGGGCAAAGGTGGTCTTTAATTCCATTTATGTAATGATGATGCTTGGAAACAGATCCCAAAATGTCATTTGCTTTAAAAGATTTGCTATCCTGGTAAGAACTTTCAACGCAAATAATTGGGGTTCTCATTATAGCAAATTCTTTTGCTTTAATAAAAGAAGTCATTGCAGAGGATGATTTAGTACATCAGACCTTTAAATTATGTTTTTATTAATTAAAATCTTGTTCATGTTCAACTTTTCAAGATCACATCTGTTAGATTGCAACAGATCTTGTGTACCTGGTCTTAAAATTGAACACTTCACTGGCCCCTCAAAGCAAAGCCAACGCTTGCAGACTTCAGAATTTCAAAAGCTTAATCAGTAACATTTTATGTGCATGTGAATTTGAAAGTATTTTTTCCCCATTTTATGGACATATCCTGTATACTTTCTTCATTCTTCAAAATTCTCATAATTAATTCCACTTCAAAGAAAAATTTCATAATAGTGTGAAGAGATGAAAACTTGGAGTAATAACCAATAACTTTTTTATTTTTTTGTTATTTTTGGAGTAATAACCTTTTATATTAGTAATTAGTAATGGGTCTAGATTCATAAGACTTAATGTAGATGCAGATATGATATCTGCATTTAGAGAGTGTTTCAGTGAATTAAATGCTGCCTTTTATAAATCGGTTTATAATACATTGGCAAATGAATTGGTATAATTTTCAAATGAATTACAATTTTGTTTAAAAGCAGACTACTTAATAAAAGAATGCAGAGAACACTAAATTTGAGCTATTTATATTACTCCAAATTCTTTTCACATCTATAATATATATGCATACATATTTACGTCATCATTATCAGTGTGTTTTATGTTCTGCTTTGTTCCCATTAACTTGTATCATATAAACCAGCGATTTTCAACTGGTGCGCTGCAAGAATTTTTAAAACATGTAATACTTGACTATTTAGTCAGAGACACTGACCTCTTTTCTTCTAGGTTGTCAAATAAAAAAAAAGACAAGTCAACACAACAATAGCTGTCCAGTGTGAATGAATCAAAATTACACCTGTTTTTTTGCTTTTTTGTCAGATGGGCAAAATATATTTTTTTTGGTGTGCCACAGAATTTTAGTACTTAGTGTATGTGTGCCCTGAGATGAAAATGGTTGAAAATTGCTGATATAAACATTAGATCATATGAATGTCTCCATTTACATATTCTGCATACCAGCCAGTTGAAGTAATCATTTAAAACTCAAAGTGTTTGAATTGTTACATCAGTTTCCTTCTCAGCTAGGGTTCTTGAGCAATCACTTTGTGATGAGGAAAGTATAAAATATTTTTTTATAATAAATTAACTTTAAATTTAAAATAAATTAAAATTACTTTTCTCATTTAAGGTTTCATAGAAGTGAAAATGGCTCGAGGCTCAAGATAGTGGTCAGGGGCTTTGCACTATACTAAACTTTCAAATGTTGCCTTGTTACTCTTATTTCTCTATGCAGATATGAAGAGCTGACTTTGTTTGACCTGTCACATTGACAGATTTCTGATCCCCGTTCACCAGCTGTGTGTGTATATGTGTATATACTTGCGCTTGGGAAGCCCAGTGCCAAGGCTTGGTAGTGGTTTCCTTTCCAAGAGCCTTAGGGCTAGTGATGAAGGAGCAGATGCCTGTTGCCTATGGTGCCTGTGCCAAAGTCATGTTTCCTGTGAATATCTACATACACTGGCTATGTCCTGCCCTTTGCACACCTGACCGTGTGTTCTTTTGTGTCCAGGAGCTGGAGGAGAAGCACCGGGAGGCCCAGATCTCAGCTCAGCACCTAGAGGTCCACCTGAAACAAAAAGAGCAGCACTATGAGGAAAAAATTAAAGTAAACACACGTTCTTATCTTCCCTGGCATTCCTCCTATAGCACCACGTAACTTCTCTCTCTTCCTGGGCACTGTGGCCCACTTCTTGCTCGACCAAAGGATTCTCTGGGGTATATGCCATCTTCAGGCCATGGTGGAAGGTTTTTGGGTGTTATCTATGTGGGGGCTTGGATATCAGAGGTTCAAAAATTTTTATTTTAAAAATTAGTTCATTTTGTATCTCAGTTTATTTTTAAAATATTCTTTGACCCACTCGCATTCAGTCCATGATAATTTTGACTTAGATTCACCACATTCTTTGCTTTTAGTTTCCTTCCTCCATCTCAGACCTAGGATTCTTTTTTGGTTTGTTTGTTTAAAGCATATCCTTAAAAACAAGTTTTTCAATTTTTCAATTATTGTTGACATACAGTATTGTATTAGTTTCAGGTGTACAGCATAGTGCTTAGACATTTATATAATTTATGAAATGATCCCTTCTATAAGTCTAAAGTGTATCCTTGAGGAAATTCTTTGGTGAAGTTCTCCTGGTGACAAGCTCTCTGTTCTGTTTGTGTGAAAATGTCTTTATTTCATTCTCATCCTTAAAAGATATTTTGGCTGGGTATAGAATTCTAGGTTGGCAATTATCATTCCATTGACTTTTGGTTTTTATTACCACTTTTGAGAAGTCAGCTGTTGATCTGTTGCTGTCTTTTAAAGTAATTGATTTCTTAGCCTCTTGACTCTTTTTAAAATTTTGCTTTGTTTTTAATTTTCTGAAGTTTTACTGTGATGTGTGTCTAGGTGTAGATTTATTTTTATGTATCCTGTTTGAGGTATACTGAGCTTTGAATATGTTGGTATTTTTTATCAATTCCAGAAAATTATTGATCATTATATCTCAAATACTGTCTCTTCCCCTTCTCTTTTTCCTTTTTCTTTGAGAATTTGATTAAGCATGTGTTAGATCACCTCCAATCTATCCTTTGTTTATGTTTTTCATTTCTTTATCTGTTAGTGCTACATTCTGGGTAGGCTCTGACATATTTTCTGTTTTATTCTTAGCTGTATAATCTGCTGTTAAACCTACCCACTGAGTTTAAAATTTCAGTTACCGTATTTTTTGTTTCTAGACATTGTATTTGGTTCTTTCCCAAGTTTTCTAGATTTTTAAGACAATTTTTCTATTTCATGCATTCATTTCTAAGCTTATTATTTATTTCTTTAAATGCATTAAACATACTTGTTGTATGATCTGTGTCTGATAATTCCAATATCTGAAGTATCTGAAGGTCTGTTTTTGCTCTGTTGCTGCTCTTGGTTCTTTTTCTTGGTGCCTGTCTCCTTGTGTGCTTCGTGAGCTGCTCATTTTCCTGGCAGAATTATTAATGGGGATTCTTTGAGACCTTGAATGAAAATGTGCCAGCCTTGGAGGCTGGCCCTGTGCTTTGACTTGTCTGTATTCTTATCCTTTGAGGCTATTAAAAATAAAAGTTCAGTTTATTTGGTTTAGCAAATGCCTCAAGTTAAAAACTGCTTTGTGCCATTTTTACCTTTCTAAGTTTCTGCTTTGATATGCTTTTGGGAAAATATTTCCTATATTTTATCTAGCTATTTAAGTCATTCTCTGTAGAAGAGGTGGCTTAATTAATCTAACCCACCATATAAAATAATACATTCAACTATTATTTTAATTGTTGAAATTATTATTTCAATTCATTTATTATTAATAAATTAAATGACCAGAAATGGATGCCAGCCTCTCTATTTCCTTTTAAAATTGCATCACATTTTTATTATGATTTTTGGACCTAATCTTCAATTCTTATGTTCTAGAGAATCAGGCATTGGTCAGTATATCTCAAATATTGTTTCTTCCCTTTCCAAATCAGACAGTGAAGAAGGCTTTTAATTTTTGTGATGATGCTGTTATTGATTTGCTTGGTATTCTCAGAGAGTTGACTGATCCTTTTTTGAGAGCTAAGCATGCTTGTGCTCACACAGCATCATCAGCATCACCACCTCGGCACCTTCTTTCGTTAACCCTGGGTGTTACTTTTGGTTATTTTTTTTATTAAAAGGAATATAGGAAAATAACCCAGAAGTAATCTCAAAGTGTTTTAGCATGGCACTTAGTTTAGTGCATTTTAAACTTTATATACCCATCCTTTTGGTTCTGATTCTTACTGGCATCCAGACTTTTATCTTTGGCATAGACTAACTTTCATAAAATTATGAACATGTATAAAGGAGTCTGTTGGCACCTTTATATGATGAGAATAACTCTTTGCAAAATTCATTCTGAGATTTGCGTGATTATGTTGACTTTCCTGTCAAAAAGCCGTGTTCTGTCTTGACTGAGGCTTGTTCCTTCTGGCCCACCCTTACCTCTTACTGGTTTCCATCACTGCCAAAGCTGGGGTCTTTTTTTGAGCAGTGGCATCCTTAAAATGTGCTTCATTGCTTTTGTACCTCGTAAGAAAAGAGCGTACTTGGTCTAGGTATTATGTGGTCTCTGCTGCCTTCTAGATGGAAAGAACTTTGGGGAATGTTAGGGAAAGATGTTTTCTTCTGTCTTCCCTCCTGGAATCTTTATGAAACCATTTCTCTGTAGCCTGTTCTGTTTTGTGTTTCCTGTTCCAGCCTCTGTAAGGCCATTTTAGTTATAATTATGATCATACCCTAGATCCTATCCTTTTCTTGTTCATAATTTTAGAATCATGCACTGACATCCAAGAGAACGGGCCACTCATCCTATTGCGCTTCTTCCCTCTCCCATGACCCTGCCCTCCACCTTTTGTCCCTCCCCACCAACTCGCCTTCTATTTTTTCCATCAGTTGGTTCTAGTTTAAGGCCCTCTTTGAAATCTGTTCTTTCCTTTCTTGATCATGTGGACCCCCTCCCTGCCAACTGGCTCTTTTATGGACAGTGTTCCCCATGCTCTCTAAAGGTCCCTTCACAATAGACATTGTGGGAAAGACAGATTTCAATCCCATCTGTGACCCCAATTCTCTCAGTTTGCTTTCCAGTATCAAATATAGTTGGTGTCATTCCGAAAAGCAGACTGGATTCTCTCAGACGAGAAACACAGGGCTGTGGTCAAAGGCTTGAGCAAGTTATGATGTCGTCTTTCTTTTCCACTTTTTTGGTGACCAGTAGGGCTTGCGGAACATTAGATCAAGCTGGTGGATGGGGATACCATTACTGTTTTATTTTTTCTTTTTGGAAACTGTAGGTGCTTAGAGCAGCGTTTCTCTTCCCCTAGGAAAGGTTTTTCTTTCCAGTGACTTTTTGTGCAGCTTGATCAGAGGAAAGAACAGAGGAGAGAGGCATTTATTTTTTCTTTCTTCTTTGTTGACTCTCCACCTACGTTACTGGTGGGCAAAATCCTCTTGTCCCTGGCTGTTTCTGAACCTTGGTCACACAGACTTCCTCGGTCTTCAGCTTTCTGTCTCTTCGTTCACAGCCTAGAGATATCTAGATTAATTTCCTATATATTAAGAGCAAGCAGTTCTGAAAACTACTGGTGCATTGTCTACGATAAAGTTATCCCTAGGTAATACCTTCAAATGATAAGATCTGTACAGAGATCATATTTTCTCTCTCATTTTGGAGTTCACCTCCATTTTGGATATATCTCTTGAGTCTTTTTGGCTGCTGATTTTAAAATAAATTTTTAGTTCAAGTCTGTGGGTTACTTACCATTTCATGGTAAGATTTCTTAACCTCATTTCAGCTGAGAAACAGACTCCCAATCCCTCTCTCTTTGCCCCAGAGTCCTCTCCACTGCTTTTCCCCCTCCTCCCTTTTCTCATTTTTCTCAAGTGCCCTTTGTTAGCCTTCCCTGCTCAGCTTTGCTACTCAGGAGACTAACTTGCTCATTTGTTTCTCATAGGTGTTGGACAGTCAGATAAAGAAGGACCTGGCGGATAAGGAGACCCTGGAGAACATGATGCAGAGACACGAGGAGGAGGCCCACGAGAAAGGCAAGATTCTCAGCGAGCAGAAGGCGGTAGGTATAAGAAAGCACAGAGCTGGTTTTCAAAGGAGGGTCTGTGGACCGTGCCAGGAGTCACACACCTGAGACAAGTCCATTTCAGTGGAGGAGTTATTCCTTCTGTTTTACCCTTTGGAGTTTGTTGCTACAGGTGGCTCTCTCTGCAACTTTCCTCTTGTAAAAGCAGTGGAGGTGGCGACTCAGGGTGGCCAATTTCGCCTTTTCATGCTTCTCTAAGAGCTGATCTGTCATTAGCTAGAACATTGTCCTTCAGAATGCTGCCTGTCAGAACGCTCAGTAGCCCTTGGTCTCCCTCATGTGTCTTCTCTTTTTCACTTGTCCATTTCTTTCCTTTCTAATGCAGTGTAAACAGGTATTTCAGAAACTTGCTGCTCATAAGGCTCACCTGTAGTGCTTGTTAATCTGCATATTATCTCAGATCCTACTGAGACTTTCCACATCAGACTCACTAAAGGAGCCTCATGGGAAATTATATTTTTAACCATCACCCCTCCTGGTTTTTATGATTCCTTAAGTTGGGAAACTTTGATGCAGAGAATGTTGGACAGTAGTGGCTGGGTGATAAGGACTCACTCAGAAAAGGACAGCTCCATGGGTGATGAGAAGTATGAACTTGCAGATTCAAGTTCAAGGCTCCTGCAGGCTCAGGTGACACGTAGATGACGGGGATTGAATGAGGCCCGCTTACTTGCAGAATGTCAGGTTCCTGCATAGGATAGGTCCTTCTGCCTGTCTTTAACGCAGGCCATTTACCTAATGTGGGGACATGTAATCTCTGCTTTGGTAAAACAACTGAGTGCTATACTTTGAGCAGTAAGATCTGGGATCCTCAGGGTACAGGTTGGTTGAGTGCCTTGTTACCTCTGGTCAGACTGCCTGCGTTTCAGATGAGACCCTTACCCTGGTCCACATGGCCCATGTTACTCTCGTTCTGGGAGAACTGTCTATGCTTGCAGTTTCAAAGGTCCCCTGTGTTTCAGATGATCAATGCTATGGATTCCAAGATCAGATCCCTGGAACAGAGGATTGTGGAGCTGTCAGAAGCCAACAAACTTGCAGCAAACAGCAGTCTTTTTACCCAGAGGAACATGTAAGTATTCAAATTCTAACTGTGTGATTACACTTTGATCTCCTCTCCTGGGGCATAGACTGCATTCCCCTGTCTGGTGGAGCTGGATTAGATTTAATTACTTGTGTAGTTTGGCCCAGCCCCCTACTCCATACTTATGTAATCGTGCCCTCTCTTAAGTGGTCTCATTCCACCGTGTCTTCTCTTTTGAGCTAGGTTTTCTTAAGTGCTTCAAATTGCCATCAGATTATAGAGTGTTTTGCTCTCTCTAATGAGGCTATTTATAGTTTGCTTTTGGAAAGCAGCAGTCCTTGTTCCCAGACTTGCCTCCCGTAATTAGCCAGAGGTGATCTGTGTGTGCCCAATCGGGCCATCTATTTTGCTGTTATTAAGTTAGGCCCTGGGAGAGGAAGTTTGGGGTTTAGTAAGGACTCTCCATGTTCCAGGAGCACTTTGATCTTTAAATTACAATCTCCAGAGTGTGTTTTTTTTCCTTTAGCTAGCTCTTCAGAGAGCTTCTAAAACATTCCCATCTTAGTTTAAACCAGCCTGATAGACTACTTTTTGGTCTTTGTGTCATTCTGGTTTCTGATGCTTCAGAGCAGTCTGGTGGGGAGGTGAGCATGGCTCACAGAGGAGCAGAAGGACTAGCATTCCTTCTTCTCATCGCCCTTTCTTCCCCAGGGCCCACCTGAAAGAGTTGTTAGGGTATTCTTGTACTCTGAGGGGGCCCCTTTCTGCCTCCTATACAGACTCAAAAAAAAAGGGTCTACCAAGAGTGAAATGTTCGTATCTCTTGCACTCCCCTTGACCATACTTAATACCATAGGCGAGGGACTCCGAGCCGTGAGGATTAAATGCGAGGATCATGCACACAAGGCCAGGTCAGGTCAGAGCTAATCCGGGAGTGACCATGGTCCACTTACTATATGAGACACATCTCTTACTCTGTTTCTGTCTGCCCTTCCGAGCGGCCATGCTCACTTCTGACGAGACTGATTTTGCTTGTCCCTCTTACCACCCCCACCAGGAAGGCCCAGGAAGAGATGATTTCAGAACTCAGGCAACAGAAGTTCTACCTGGAGACACAGGCTGGGAAATTGGAGGCCCAGAACCGAAAGCTGGAGGAGCAGTTGGAAAAAATCAGCCACCAAGACCATAGTGACAAGAACCGTCTGCTGGAGCTGGAGACAAGGTTGAGGGAGGTGAGAGTGAGGGCGATCGCCCAGAGGATTTGTTGGAGGACTCGAGGTCCCCCAAACTAGCCAGGTGTCAGATATAAGTCAGTGCTCATGAGAGAGGCATTGTGCATGGAGAAGGGCACAGGAGTCTGGGTTAGACTCCCATCTCCACCTCTGATGAGTTTTCTAACATTGGGCAGGCTGCCTTCCCTCTGTGTGTCAGTTTCCTCATCTGTAAAGCAGCCATGAAAACGCATCTCCCTCCCAGGGTCATGTGGGGCTTATGTAATCGGTGCATCTTCACATGGGGACAGAGTGGTTCCTCCTTCATCTCGATTTATCAAGGGTCACGTGACCCAGCCCATGCACAGAGTTGAGCACAGTGTTGGCTACACAGGATGGCTTAATGACAGTGGCAGATTAAATGACACACCCAAATGTTAGGTTTGTTTGATGGAAGGTGGTTCTCTTCAGAGGTATAAGGAAGCTGGGAAGGACAGCCAGGTTTTTGGGAAGAAAGTACAACCTAGTTGGTTGTAACATGGTAAGATTGATTGAAGTAACAAAGTTACATTCATGTACTTACTCACTATGTATTTATTAAATGCCTGCTGTGTGCCAGTTAGTGGCCTGATATCCAGATGTGACAAGACAGACCCAGTCCCTGATCTTGGGCACTGTCAGCCTAGCAAGCAGGGTTATCTGGCACTTGTAGAGGTGAGACTGTAGTTCCGGAGAGTAGCTGTTGGAAGTGGGACATCAGGCTGGGAGTGGAAATACCGTGCTCAAATGTTTGTGATGGAATTCTTCAAAGAGCAGAAAGTCACTCTTAAGGAAAAGCCTGTTATGCCTGCAGAGGCCTGAGGACTAAACCTTGGGGAATACTCATGCTTAGGCATGTCTTAGTCTTAGTTTATACTGGAGTGTTAAAATGAAGCCAGTTCTCCAAAGGACAGGAGTTGTCAAGGTGTGGACCCTCCATTAGGACCACCTGGTATATCGATTAAAATGCAGATTCCTGGGCATCTTCCTCCCTCAGCCTGTTGGAATGGAATTGGGGTGAGGGGGGGTGGAGAGTAGGGGTTTGCATTTTTAACAGGCACCCCAGGAAATTCTTACACTTCTGGAGTTTGAGAACCATTTATACAGGTCATCCAGAAGCCTTAGGTGATGGTTTAACTTTTATCATCCAGGTGATAGTTTTACTCTTCAGTAAGTTTCACATCCCCCCCC